TGGTGGAGGGGTTTGAATGTCCCAATGATCCTAGGAGCTATGCTGTCAGTAGTAGGGTCACCCAAGGCAGACAGGTCCTAGGTGAGGAACCAGACAAAGTGCAGCCCAAAGACCCCTATGATGAGTAAAATAAATGGACTTGGTGTTCCCTCGCCCGGACGTGGGTCACCGGGGCCCCACTCTGGAGCCAGGCCTGGAGGTGGGGGCATGTGGGCGAGCGCCTGGTTGCCGGGCTTTTACCCATGGAGCTCGGCCGGGCACAGCCCGAAGAGGAGACGTGGGTCCATCATGGGCTCACCACCTGTGGCTCTGGCTCTGGAACCAGTTTCCTTGAGAGGGGTTGGACACTCTTTCACTCTGGAGTTGCCCCTGGTGAGAGGCGCCAAGCAGGAGTGGGCATACTTATTGCCCCCCATCTTGGTGCTTGTGGGCTGGGGTTCACCTCGGTGAATGAGAGGGTGGCCTCCCTCTGCCTACGTGTGGGGGGATGGGTTCTGACTGTCGTTTGTGCTTATGCACCAAGCGGCAGTTCAGATTATCCACCCTTTTTGGAGTCCTTGGAGGAGGTACTGGAAAGTGCACCTCCTAGGGACTCCCTTGTTCTGCTGGGGGACTTCAATGCTCACGTGGGCAATGACAGTGAGACCTGGAGGGGTGTGGTTGGGAGGAACGGCCCCCCTGATCTGAACCAGAGTGGTGTTCTGTTGTTGGACTTCTGTGCTCGTCATGGATTGTCTATAACGAACACCATGTTCAAGCATAAGGGTGTCCATATGTGCTCTTGGCACCAGGATACCCTAGGCCGCAGTTCGATGATCGACTTTGTTGTCGTCTCATCTGATCTGCGGCCACATGTCTTGGACACTCGGGTGAAGAGAGGGGTGGAGCTGTCCACTGATCACTACCTGGTGGTGAGTTGGCTCCGATGGTGGGGGAGGATGCCGGTCAGACCTGGCAGACCCAAACGTATTGTGAGGGTTTGCTGGGAACGTCTGGCAGAGTCTCCTGTGAGATGGAGTTTTAACTCCCACCTCCGGGAGAACTTCGAACATGTTCTGGGGGAGGTAGGGGACATTGAGTCCGAGTGGGCCATGTTCCATGCCTCTATTGTCGAGGCGGCTTACCGGAGCTGCGGGCGCAAGGTTGTCGGTGCCTGTTGCGGCGGTAACCCTCGAACCCGGTGGTGGACACCGTCGGTGAGGGATTTTGTCAGGCTGAAGAAGGAGTCCTATCGGGCCTTTTTGGCCTGTGGGACCCCGGAAGCAGCTGATGGGTACCGGAAGTCCAAGCGACATGCGGCTCAGGTGGTCGCTGAGGCAAAAACTCGGGCATGGGAGGAGTTCGGAGAGGCCATGGAGAATGACTTCCGCACAGCTTCGAGGCGATTCTGGTCCACCATCTGGCATCTCGGGGGGGGAAAGCGGTACGCCACCAACACTGTTTATAGTGGGAGTGGCGTGCTGCTGACCTCAACTCGGGATGTCGTGGGTCGGTGGGCAGAATATTTTGAAAACCTCCTCAATCCCACCGGCATGTCTTCCACTGAGGAAGCCGAGCCTGGGGACTCTGGGTCGGGCCCTGCAATCTCTGGTGCTGAGGTCACCGAGGTGGTTAAAAAGCTCCTCGGTGGCAGGGACCAGGGGTGGATGAGATTCGCCCAGAAATCCTTAAGGCTCTGGATGTTGTAGGGTTGTGTCGGCTTACGCGACTCTGTAGTATTGTGTGGACATCGGGGGAAGTTCGCCTGGATTGGCAGACCGGGGTGGTGGTCCCCCTATTCAAAAAAGGGGGACCATAGAGTGTGTTCCAACTACAGGGGAATCACGCTCTTAAGCCTCCCTGGTAAGGTCTATTTGGGGGTTCTGGAGAGGAGGGTCCATCGGATAGTCGAACCTCGGGTTCAGGAGGAGCAGTGCGGTTTTCGTCCTGGTTGTGGAACACTGGACCAGCTCTACACTCTCAGCAGGGTCCTGGAGGGTGCGTGGGAGTTTGCCCAACCGGTTTACATGTGTTTTGTAGACTTGGAGAAGGCGTTCGACCGCGTCCCTCAGGGGAACCCTGTGGGGGGTACTCTGGGAGTATGGGGTACCAGGCCCTTTGATACGGGCTGTTAGGTCCCTGTATGACCGGTGTCAGAGCCTGGTCCGCATTGCCGGCAGTAAGTCGGGCTTGTTCCCGGTGAGAGTTGGACTCCGCCAAGGTTGCCCTTTGTCACCGATTCTATTCATAACTTTCATGGACAGAATTTCTAGGCGCAGCCAAGGTGTTGAGGGGATCTGTTTTGGTGGCCTTAGGATTGCGTCTCTGCTTTTTGCAGATGATGTGGTCCTGTTGGCTTCATCAGATCGTGATCTACAGCTTTTGCTGGAGCGGTTTGCAGCCGAGTGCGATGCGACCAGGATGAAGACCAGTTCCTCCAAATCCGAGGCCATGGTCTTGAGCCGGAAAAGGATAGAGTGCCCTCTCCGGGTCAGGGAGGAGGGCCTGCCCCAAGTGGAGGAGTTCAAGTATCTCAGGGTCTTGTTCATGAATGAGGGAAAAATGGAACTTGAGATCGATAGGCATTTTGGGTTTTCATGAGCTGTATGCCATAATCATCAGTATTAAAACAATTAAAGACCTGAAATATTTCAGTTGGTGTTCAATGAATCTGAAATATATGAAAG